AAAAAAAAATGAGGTTTCCTTTAATTAATTTTCACAAAATGCTTATAGTGCCCTGCATTCCACTTGGGCCTCCGTGAGTTTGTACTCAGACCTGAAGGGAATTCCTTAATCGCAATTAAAGACAAATCCTTGGGGGATGGGCCATTTTTACAAAGTTCTACGTGGATCAATTTTCTTTTTTCAGAATGAAAGTATCTTACTTTTTCCAGGTTTTAAAATGCATGCTTCGGGGCACCTGGGTGGCTCAGCCGGTTATGTGTCCGACTTCGGCTCAGGTCATGATCTCATGGTCTGTGAGTTTGAGCCCCGCGTCGGGCTCTGTGCTGACAGCTCAGAGCCTGGAGCCTGTTTCAGATTCTGTGTCTCCCTCTCTCTGACCCTCCCCCATTCGTGCTGTGTCTCTGTCTCAAAAATAAATAAACATTAAAAAAAATGTAAAATGCATGCTTCTTGTTAAAAAAGAATAACCAGTCTGTGATTTTTCTGACCTCCTCAGATAACCACACCGTTAACCTCCAGCACTTTTAAAAATGTGCCCACTGATTCGCTCAATGATTTTATTGTTATTTTGATTTGATTTGCATCCCACTGAGGCGAAGTTTGTTTCAAGCATCCTACATCTATAGTTCCTCTGTTGTGAACTTCCTGTTCCAGTCCTTTGCTCCCCTTCCACCTAAGGAGAATTTAATGCTTTTCTTACTGATTTTTTTTTAATTAAAATAATTTTTTAAACACTTTTGTTTATTTTTGAGAGACAGAGTGCAAGCAGGGGAGGTGCAGAGAGAGAGGGAGACATAGAGTCTGAAGCTGTCAGCATGGAGCCCGATGTGGGGCTCGAACTTAGAAGCGTGAGATCATGACCTGAGCCGAAGTCGGATGCCTAACCGACTGAGCCACCCAGTCGCCCCTTATGGATTTTTTAAAAAAAGTTTATTTATTAATTTTGAGCGAATGAACAGGGGAGGGTGGAGAGGGAGAGAATCCCAAGCAGGCTCCATGCTGTCAGTGCAGAGCCTGACTCGGGGCCGAGCCCAGGAACAATGAGATCATGACCTGAGCCGAAATCAAGAGTCAGACACTCAGTTGACTGAGCCACCCAGGCACCCCCTTTCCTTGCTGGTTTTTAAGAGCTCTGTGGGAGGCAGAATTTTGGCTCCCTTGACCTTCACCTCCTGGCATCACACTAGTGGTTAAGGTAGGATAGCTGGCTAAAGGGATTTGCAGATGTAATTTAAGTTACTAATCAGCTGATCTTAAAATAAAATGATCCTGGGTTATCTGATGTGCCCAATGTAATGACAGGAGTCCTTAAAAGAAAGAGATGGGGCAGAAGGAGGAAGTTGGAGAGACTGGAGGCATCCTGCTGCATTTTGAAGCATGAGAGAGATTCAGTGCACTTTTGCTGGCTTTGATGATGGAAGGGGCCATGAGGGGAGGAATGTGGTAGTCTCTAGAAGCTGAGAATGATCCCTGGTCGACGTCCAGCAAGAAACAGGGACTGCCGTCGTCGCCTCCCGGCAATGAATCTGCCAACCGTGTGCATGAGCCTGGCTCAGGCCAGCCAACACCTTGACTTTGGCCTTGTGAGGCCCTGGTGGGAGAACCCGGTCCAGCCGCTGGACTTCTGACCTCCAGGACCGAGAGGTGATAAATGGGAGTGGTTTTAGGTAAATTTGCAGAAATGTGTCACCACAGCAATGGGAAACAAGCTTTATGCGTTAACGTTAAAAAGACTTCATATACATGTTGTAAATATTTTTCAAGAGTCTTACTGGTCTTTTCAAAGTTTACCCCTAACTATATTTAATCTTTGTAATTTCATTACCAGAGAGTAAATTCAAGTTCCATTTTTTGGGGGGGTATCCTTTGGGGTGATCCCCGCGTGCCCAACACTCAACATGCAAAACACAGAGTCCTGGGCCCTGCTCCGAGTTTCTGATTCGGGGAGTGC